CCCTCCCCTCGCCCTACCTTCTTCCCCTGCCCCCTAACCCCTGCCCTTCTCTACCCTGCCCCACTGCAGGTGCTCACGTCCAACTGCCATGCGAGCAGCCCGTGCAAGGTGCTTGAAGTGCCCTAAAAGGTTTTATTAGTTGAGTTATCGCCATCAAAACATTGGGCTTGATACATCTGCACCGAAAGGTTTCTGGATTGGCTAGCGATCGTTTTCTCCTTGCAGTTACAATGCTGATCCCTGAATTATTTTTGCAGGACGACAAACATAATTACATAACATACATACATACATACATACATACATACATACATACATACCTACAGACCGACACGCAAAACTTCTGCTTTATAGAATAGAGTGACACTTGTTACTTGGCCTTACGCTGATGTGTGATCGAAAGTTGAGAGTGAGGTGGGGAAGGTATTCTTCTTATAAGTACCACCAATCTGTCTCCTACTTATTCTTCTTTTGCAATACGGACGAGACTTGCGTTACTGCCAGTAGCGACCCCCAGGTACCTACCTCGAACCCTTTCTTCTCCCACCCAGGCTTGAGCATCAGGGCTGCGTCGGCCAGTAAAGGAGCAGAATAAGGACGATGTCTCTCAATTATTGGACAGTCTTCGACAGTTCTCCAAAGCGGGAGCTTGAGCTCTCATGAGGAGTGAGGTCTCTTTGTCCATGTAAACTCAGACTGAGGGTGCCAGATCGTAAAACTACTGGATGAAGAAGCTGCTTCCTCATTCTATCTCCACACAAAGTAGCTACGAGATCTGAAGCGAATAGTCGATCAGAGGGAAAGTTAGTCCGCACAGTCTGCCTTCAACGTGACAGTGCAACCACCTCTCCAAAAAAGGACGAGCTGAACGTCAAGCAGTGGAGCTGGATGGCTTCCTCTTCAACGATGTAAGCGCAGGCTTAACTCCTCATAAATACTTCTTGCCTGCTGAACTGACCTGTTGCAGACGAAAAATCTTCATGACGCGAGCCCAAGTCAAAATCAACATGGTGCGCATTTCTGCGTCGCGCCGGCCTGCACAGAGGAGCGATGGCATCGAAAAAGGTGACCAAATTCTAGCAAAAAGCGGGCGTCTCTCCATACAAAAATACCCTGTTTTTGAAAAAAACATGGCAGAAATTCCCTGCTCGCCTAATACTATACCCGAAAGCGATCCCAGACTGATGGGGAAAAGCTAGAGATTAGATCAAGATTCCATGAAGCTAGGCTCTGTAAAGCGCTCGCGCAAACGGGTTCATGCATTTTTTCACCACGACGACTTCTATTACGTCTGAAGATATGATCACCACAACGCGTTTAACAGCTCACCTGTTTACCTGGCAAGACCGGTACGTAATAGTATTTGGTTTGAAATTCTCCGAGACAACATTTCTCAGTCAGACTGTACATCACGCGCAGAATTTGTTATACAACGCCAAAAAAAGAGTTGAGGTTACTGATTTATTGGTACTTTCAAACACATTCAGACCCCCAGTGAAAGCACTCAGCCCCAAATAATGCTCCGCTTTTGCCAAGTGAAAGCGGGTACCGCCTTCAGGGAAAACTGAACGTAACTCTTCAAAACTTATACCAAATCGAGGTTTTTACACGATTGGTAGGCAGTCCCCTATATGTGCTCATGTGAAATGTTAGACTGTGCTGCTGCAGTGTTTTGAGCGACTAGGGAAGTATAGTTATCGACCCAGCATTAAGAGCGTTTTGAGCGACTAAAGAAGTACTTCTGCCGACTATCGCCGAAAACGCTGGTGGACGCTTAAAAACGCATGCAGCATCAACACCTACACTTTCTTAAATGCTCAAAACGCTAAAAGTCTGCCGCAAAGTATGACACACCTTTACAGAAATTTGTGTGGGCTGAATAGCAAAGAAAATAGAGATTTAATTGCTGATGACAACTAGTTGCTAACGGATTTTTTTTGTGTGGGGGGGGGGAGGCAGCGGGGGTAACCTTTCTCGGCATAATTAAGTGCCAACTGGCCAGCCAGATTAGATCAAAACAAACGAGATTCGCTGTAAATGTTTGAGACAGTCCACAGATGGTTCGCTTCATGTGTAGGAAGGTGAAGTAAATAGGTGAGGCGAACTGTGTTGTCGTTTTACTGTGAGGAAAACGCTCACAGTTCAATTTCTATGATTTGATAGGGAGCTATTGAAGTAGATTTTTCTTTACGTTCTACGGAGCACCCAACCCATTTAATAGTATCACGTTTAAAATTGTGCTGTCCCGGAGCCTCATTGCAATCTGAATGTTGAACACATAAAAGAGGCGCCAAAATTTATTGCGAAAGACTCAAAAGATTCAAAAGAATCCAACAGTTTTCACAAAAATTTCCGCAGCGGCGGCATACTGGCGGATACTGGAGGCAGCAGACCAGGTCAGAGTCCAGAAGGAGGCACCACTGAAGGATTCAGGATTCCGGTGGAGGTGGCTAACTGTAGTATTTCAGGTCGCTGAAGAAGGTGCTAGGCACCGAAATATTCGAAGAAGAAGGAGTATAAACAATATAAAAATTTTTGTGAAAACTTTTGGATTCTTTTGAGTCTTTCGCAATAAATTTTGGCGCCTCTTTCATGTGTTTAACAGTATCACGTTTACACAAACTAATGGGTTCACCTAGGCCCTAATTCTTCCTCTTGTGGCCTTAGGCAAAAACCTTCGCCCTACAGTTGTTTCTTCACACTTTTCAGCGTTAGCTGTTTTACCATCTGAATTAAGCACCCTAGGGTGGTGTTGTATCCATGGCGTAAACGTAAAGTTACTTCTGTTTCGCCGAAGAGGGAGCAGAAGAGAGGATGAGTCATCGCTCGCGTGGTCCCCCTCAACTACGTTAGCACCCAACTAGTGGCAAATTCGCGAAACAGCTTCACCTTGAAGATATATGTGCTTACAGAAAGGTATAATTGGTGACAGGTAAGGCAGGGAACATTCATTCGATAAGGTACGAGTCAAAGGATTTGGTAGACACACTTGTCATTACACACCCGTGCAAATCTGAGAGGTCGATGCATATAGTGTGTTCCGGAAAGTTCTCAGTCGTTTTGGCGTGTTTCACTGTAAAACGCCATCAAACTTTCTCGCTCATCGCGATTTCAATCCAAATAAGCACATTTTCGATCATCAGCACACTTCTTGCCAATGTGGACAGCAGTCGAGAAATCCCATCAAAGGAAAAAGTGGGTGGTCGAGAATCCACGAAATCTACGAAGGTCTTTTTTGCCTGGTCCTAATTGATGAAGTATTTTTCAGCAAGGAAGTTCTGAAAATGTTTGAAAAGGGAATATTCGGTTGGTGGAAGGTCTGGAGAATATGGCGGGTGATCGGTAGAACTTCAACCCCCAATTCGTTCAATTTATGGATAGTGATTTGTGAAACGTGTGGGCGGGCGTTGTCATGCAAAAGAATCGGACCCTTTCTTTTGATAAGTGTTGGCTGCATCTGACAAAATTTTCGGTACAATTCGTCGATTTCTTCACAGTAGGGTTCTGCTGTGATGGTTTGGCCTGGTGATAAAAAGTTATAGTGGATCACACCAGCCGATGACCACCAAGCCGTGACCAGAATCTTTTTTCGTGAGGGTTCGGCTTTAAAAATTACCTCGGTGGTTCGTCGAAATCCAACCACTGTCCGGAACGTCTCCTGTTATCATACATGACCCATTTTTCATCACAGGTGACAATTCGGCCCAAAAACAGGTCGTTTCTGCTGCGCAAAAGCAATGCAGAAGGAACCTCGAGACGTGTCGATTCCTGCCGGTCACTCCGATTGTGGGGCACCCAATTGTCGAGTTTTTTCACCTTCCCAATGCGTTCCAGACCATCTGCAACAGTGGATTTGCCAAGGCCTAGCTCTTCTGCTATCTCTCGAACTGTTTGGGATGGGTCAGCCTCCAAAATCCCCCTAAAATCCTCGTCAGATATTGCTTTAGGTCGACCGCTATGAGGTTCATCTTCAAGGCTGAAATCTCCAGAACGAAATTTGTTGAGCCATTGCCGCACAGTGCTTTCTCTAGCACTATTGGGCCCCACACCTGGTTAATTTGTTGAGCTGTTTCGATTGCGGATTGCCCCAATTTATAGTCGAAGAAAAAAATCGTCCGAAGTGCTCTTTTCACATGCTTGAAAAAATCTTGAAAAAAGGGTTTATCAAGCAATGGTGAAACGGCAATTATACCATCAGATAGCGCAAGAAATTCTCTACAGGATGTGCTACTGAGAAGCAAGGCAGAATGAGTTTTTAATCAGCAGTGAATGTACAAAGAATAGGTGCACAAAACGCTGAGAACTTTCCGGACAACCTAATAAGAACCAGCCAATCTTCACGTACGCCCCTAACCTACAAAATCCAAACAAGTTTACAACGGTAAGAAATAAACCAGAATGCGAAAGCAAAGAATTAATGAATGTTTAACAGCTGGTCTTTCTAACCTTGAACAATGAATTCTCAATAGAGAAACTTTGAAAGAAACTGACCTCTAATGGTTGCTTTGACTCCCAGTCTATCACCAGACTTTCCAAAATCTTCATGGTTTTATCTAAAACCGCATCAGCCGGCGACCCTCTGGGATGTGCTAGCGTCGTCCGCTGGGAAATCCCCCCTCATGAATGAATCTGAAAGTGAAATCATCGGAGAAATGAGAACGGTCAACTGCAAACAAATAAGATATTATCAA